AGGGGCTTCCACAGAGACAGGGTGCAGCTGCCTCATGGGGCCACCTCATCTTGCTGTCTCGTGCCCCTCACTCCTTTGTAACTCCTAGAAGGTGGGATTTCCCGCCCCCTCCCCCCCTCCTGGAACTCTCCTTAAATCCCTGGGTTTTGTCCCAGGAAGTTCCCTCCCAGTTGGTGTTTCCCTGAGAGATGATGTATTAGTTTACTTTCTTTGCTGATTGCTGTTTCTTTCTCCCCCAGAACTCCAGCTAGAGATCCCTGGGTTTCCCCCTGAAGTTTCCTCACAGTTGGTGCTTCTCCAAGTTGTGATGTTTGTACTCTTTCACTTTCTTTGTTCATTGCTGCTGTGAATAAACTGTCTTACTATCTCTTCTGGGGGGTGGGGGGGGCGACACGACAGTATTAACTTTTTACGTCTGACTCTGTCCAGTGGCCACACCTTAAGTAGCTCCTTAATACTACAAGAGGACCTGTAGGGGGAGTCTCCTGCTCAGAGACCCAAGCTCACCCATCCTACCCTTCCAATGGCTATTGTCATGACAGACCCTTAGTTCTCCTCAGGTCCCTCCTGCCAAACTGATCAGGAGGCAACCTTGCAGGCAAGGGCTCTGTCCCAAAAGCCTGAGCCAGCAGGGGAAAAATCTCCATCTCTCTGGTTTTGTTTCTTCTCTGTGCAGCAGAAATGCTGGTGATGTATAAAGTCTTTGCTCCTTTTCCCTCTTTATTCGACTTGTCTTTTCTTTCTGGAACCGTGTTCTAAGAACTGTTCTTTTACCCCTTCTTGGGAAGATGCAAAGAGCTCTCAGAGACAATAGATATCATTTGACAGGTACAGGTCTGCCAGACAAGAAAAGCAGTTTAATTGGCTCTTCTGGAGACATAATGTCAATGGAGGTGCACAGTGGTGGACTGCTTTCACCACATCAGTTGAGAGTTTTTGTGAAGTCGACTTGAGTTCAGGGTTTATGGCAACCTCTTGTGATCCTAGGGCTTGTGTGGGGCTGATCTTCAGAAGTAGATTGCCAGGCCTTTCTTCCAGATGTCTCTAAGTGGACTCAGACCTCCAATTTTTCTAGTTAGTAGCCAGCTGCATTAACTGTATCATCCACACACTCCTTATTATACCATACCAGCCTCACTTCTTTTTAAATTTCATTTCATTTATGGAGAGAATGTTGTTGTTAGGTGTGGTCAAGTCGACTATGACTCATAGCAACCCTATGAACAAAAGATCTGAACCCTGTTCTATCCTGTGCCATCTCGCACTTCCTGACACACAAGAGTCCATTCAGCAGTCACCATGTCAATCCACCTGATTGAGAGATGGAGAGAATATGCACAGTGAAATCCACTCGCTTTGCAGGTTCTAAACACAACGTGGCCTTATTTACACATTTCACAGTGTGTCCACATTTTTTTTAACTTTTAAAAAATTTTATATTAGTTTGCATACGATATTCATATACATTGTGTTTCATTCATGTACATTGGGTTTCACACATTCCTTCATTCACGCCTTGCTTCATTCCCATGCACTATGTTTTATAGAATTAGTCACCATTCATCTATGTGCACATTTTATGATTTCTGTTCTGGTTCTTTTGCTTCCATCTCGTTATCTCGTTGCCATCTTGTTGAGACTGACTCATAACTGACTCATGAATGGGTTTTCAAAGATAGTAAATCGCATGGGAGGAAGTTGTATTTCTCCTGTGGAGCAGCTGGTGGATTCAAACCATCTACCCTTGGACTGACAAGGCGAGTCCTTACCACTAACTAGGCCACCAGAGCTTCCGTAGCAGGCTTTTGTTAGGGAAAGGGTCTAAGGATGTAATAATTTCTCAAAGCAAGAAAACACCTCTCTGCTCAGCTGACCAGCACCACTGAGCTTCTGGCTTTAATCCTTTAAAGCAAAGAACTGTAGTTTCCAAGAGTCCAAGTTTTAACAACAGCAGGGACAGTGGATGGAGAAAGGGTCAGTGAGGACCGAGACCATAGAGAAATATCTATCATGTCAGTGACCGTGGCTGGAGTCTGGAAATCACTAGGCAGAGGTAGATAAGAAGTCAGGCACCGGCTGGAGTAACCTAGATGCTCCCTAGGCCCGTGGTGGCTCTGTAGCAGTTTCTCTGATCTTACTGAAAAGACAGAAATGGACTGGAGATGATAAAAGGGAAGAAGTAGTAGCCCTGGCCGTGTCCTCTAAGACCACAGTCTCATATATTCCTCACAACAAGGTGTAGCTTTGCACCCAGAGGGGTTTTCTTAACTGGGAGCATCACTGACAGCTCATGGGTAGAGACTAGGGGTTCTGGGAAGCATCAACACACAAGACAGCCCCTCACAATGAAGAATTTCCAGTCTCAATTATCAATAGTACCAAGAGTGAGAGACCGTGACAAGGCGGCAATGTTACTGATTCTGTTTTGCAAATGCGGAAACTGACGCTCCAAGAAGTAAAGTAACCTAAAGTGATTTATTTGACCCTCAGCCCCTCCCTTCTGCCCCCAAGAGCCAAGCATCTACAGTTTGCTCAGTTTGGCTTCTCCAGCTGCACTCAAGTAGAGCCTATCTAATGACAAGCCCGTGTATGTCAGAAAAGAGCTCTGCTCCTGAGGGCTTTCAGGGGCTACTTTTTCTGCTTTGGATCAGTGTGTCTCTTCCTGGGAGCATGGTAGGGGGTGATGACTGGCACAGGGGCGAGCACGGGAGGAAATAGAGCGCTGGCAGACAGGGGAGGCAGCGGTACCTGGCAGTGGTGAGGCTGGTAGCTGAGGCCTGGACTGTGGTCTTCACAGTGCTCCTGGTGGTGGGCAGGGGTGTCGCTGTAAGAGAGGCAGGGAAGGGGGCACTCCTGTCTGTCTGCCCCACACTCCAGGGCTGCCCACTTCCAGCCCAGCCTTGCGTAGAGGGGAGGGATTACATAGGTAGCCCTGGACCAGCAAAGGGCTCTGAAAAGTGTATTTTCTGCAAATGAATGGTGCTGTTCTGAGTTGTGTTGGATGTCCAGCACAAGAATGCTGGAGCACAGGAGAGTGGCTTTGGTCTGGGTGCCTAATGCCATTGTGTAATAGATCTGTGGTCTCTTCTGTTCTCATTACTTTTTAAGACGTCTTGCACTTTCAGCCTAGAATGCTACTCCTTTCCCATATAAATTCCTGCTTATCCGCAGGGCCCAGGTAGGATCATCTTGTCTGTACAGTCTTCAGGAGGAAGACTTAGCCTTCTCTAGCAATGTGACTACTCTTTTTGCGGGGCCTCTGTCTGAAGCTTCTAATACAGCACCTCTACATCATAACCCTTCATTCACATGTCTGTCTTCTGGGCTGGGCTGTGACACCCTGTGGATCTAAGGCTTGTAGAGCCTCGTCCATGGAGTGGGCACTGAGATACAGCTAAGGCAGTGAACAATCTCAGAAGAAATAGCTGAGGGCCTCAAGGCTCATGGGAACCACAAATTTTACATATTGGAGCTTAAGGCCTCTTCTGCTCCAACCTTCACAGAGAAATGTGGTGAGGCTTTACAGCTCTTCAACTTTTGAGAGAAATAGCTGTGGGCCTCCTGAACCATGATAAGCTTAAATTTCCCATTCTGAGGGTTCAAATTCTCTCATAGGTCCAAGATAAGGACACAGGACTGGTAAGCCCTAAGATGCTACGCCTCTCTGCCTCACTGCCTAAGTCCCATGTGTACCATTCTCTGCTGTGTCCTCATCTGTCCAAGTCCTTGCAGCTCCCCTATGCCTCGTCTCTAGCACATCCTTTTAAGCAAAGGTCGGGGGTAAAGGTCAAACATAGGGACGACCAGAAATAGATCATTAGGTCAGCTGTGTTCAAGTACAAGGGAGTTTTAAGATCACTGTCAATATATTAAGGAGACCTGGAAATAGTTAAGAGGATTACACATAAATGTGGAAGGAAATGCCAACGAAAAGCCCACGGTCTCAAGACTGGTGGTGGTTCTACCACTAATCACAACTAAGAGGAGATGTTGGGTAAGGGCATTTCTTTCTCTGGGCCTCTGATTTCTGCCACAAGAAGGTGGCTATTGCTACTGTTGTTAGTGCTGTCAAGGAACCAACTCGTGGTGCCATTCCTGATCAGACCACATAATGCGTAGGATTTATCCTTGCTCTGTCAGGGCAGTAGATTGCCAGGACTTTCCTCCTTGTCCATTTCAATCGGGAAGTGCAACTGAAACTTACACAGCATAGAAATATACAAGCCACAAAACATTGACAGACAGGTAGGGGTTGTTCGTGAAGTGTGTTGATCAGGAATCGAACCCAGACGTCCTGCACAGAAATTGAGTTGTCTGCCACTAAACCACCAGTGCCCTCCAACAGAAGGGGAGAAGGAGAAATTTTCTAATGTCCTTTCCCATTCTAACATTTTGTTGTTTAGAGATTCTGAGATTCATATATTAGAAGGCAAAGAACTCACCTTGAGATACCATCAGATCGAAGGTTTTAAGAACATAGATATTTTGCGTGCTGGGCCCAACTCCACACCAATAGGTTCCTGAGTCCCTTGCTTTGAGCCGCGTCATGTTGACGATGAAGTAATGAGATCGCTTATTATCCAGGATTGAGTATCGGGACGCTGCTTTTTCGTACCTGGGACTGGTGACTAATATGGCACAGGTAGTTCCCGATGTTTTTTTGCACCATACTTTCAACCAGTTTGAACTTTGTGACTTCTGGTACTGGCATGTCACAGAGATGGTCTCACCTTCCAGTTTCTCCAGCAACACGGGCCCTTGTCCCTGCGCCCAGGAGCCTGAGAGCAAATCCTTGATCAGAGGTCCATACTTGGCCCAACCTCCCCTGAAGGATTGTGAGGCAGGGACCCCCCCATAGAGAGGATCCCCTCTTTGTACCTATAGCCAGGATATGCCTCAGTCACCACACCACACTGCCCCCCTTCTTTGTCTCTCCTTCATGTGGTCCCCTTTACCCATCACTTCACCTCCTTCTCTTCCCCTGTTCTGGACCCCTGCCCTCACCCCTGCCCCTCACCTGAGGCCAAGAGCACCAGAATCACAAGAACTAGCTGGTATGTGGTGTCCCAGGCCATGGGGTCCTCTTCTCGAACTGAGGTAGAAGCAGAAAAGCGAGGGGGTAGGGGAAGCTCTGAGGAGAAGGAGCCAGAGGTTGGGTCTGGCTCAGCCTCGCACCCCCAGAACATCTGGTCTGAAGAGCTGAGAAAGACAAGGTCTCAGGTGGGGAGTGGGAGGGCAAGGGAGTCTTTGGCCTCTATGTGGACTCTCCAGCTCCAGACTCTTCACTTTTCCCTTGGGCTGCTGGAGACTTCAGGAGACCCTGTGCTGTGACTCGGCTATCCAATCTCTTCCTCATTGTTAGCTTCTTCCGTACTGGGCTGGGGCAAAAAGGGTGTGAGAGCTCAGGAGGAAACAATGGTGAAATTAAAGCTCTCTCCTCATTCTCTCTCCATCACTTCCTCCCCAGCCTTAACTTCCTCCTCTGTCACCCCTCAATCAAATAAAGCGGGGGCTGGAGGTGCGTGCTGGAATCATGCGAGGTCTAGCCAGGGTCCTCAGCTGCTCTTATGCCCTGGGGTGGTCAAGTCTCTTAGCCAAGTTTCCCAATGGTCAGTGTTAGGTTTCTCCCCTGGACTGTTTCATGAACACTGGAGAGACAAGGAGAGAGGTGCTAAAGATGGAGGTTTAGAGGAGGTCTCTAGCAAAGATGGGAAACAATAAAGGCAGGACAATCAAGGAGCTTAGCAGGCTCATGGGAAGGGAAGGCAGAGGGACCGGGCAAGGCTAGAAGGAAAGGAGGAAAAAGGAGAAAGAGAAAAGGGTCCCAGCTGCAGGTAATGTCTGTAACTCAGCTCCCACCAACATAATCACTCAGTGAATACTTACTAAAAAACTATATTAGTTAGATACTTAAAAATGCACACATTGCATAGGGCCACGGTTGTAAAATGGGACTGACATCAGGGTTGAGGGAAGACAGAAAAGGAGGGGAGGAATGATGTATATTGCCTTGAAACAGATGAGGGAGAGAACTGTTTAAAAGGGATATATGAATGGGTATTCTTGTCATTACAGAAGTCCAGAGTGAAGGCTGCATAGTGGAGTGGACTTGGGGGGTGGGATTGCATAACAATGAAAGAGTTTTTCTTTCCTTTCAAGGAGAAGAGTGAATTGGGGTGGAGGGGGTGGGTAGGGTGAAAAGTGCAACAATGAATGACTGGAAAAAAAAACCCAAAAATGCACACACACACACACACACACACACACACACACACACAAAATTAGAGGCATTGGAATGTGGTGAATGCAGTTAACCTCGCCGGCTTTTACAAAATGGAAATTACTGCAATGGTTAATAATAATACTACTACAGTAGGTGAATGACAGGAAGTGAAGACCACAGCTGTTTGCAATTAATATGCAAGTAATAAAGGAAATAGGCCATGCTGTACAAACTCAGTGTTGAATGTGGGTTCGGAGGAGCAGACTCCAGGATGGAGATTGGCTTAGGAGTCTCCAACTTATTTTGGGGCAGCACCTTGGGAAGGAAGGGACTAGCAGGATTGAGGAGAAGTCAGGCTGCAAGATGAAGAATAAAAGCAACTCAGGACATTTTTGGGAAGTGTTCTAGAGTTAAGGTGACCCTTGTAATGTCCCTGAGTTGGCAAGGGGACCCTGGGCCTTTCTACTCTGAGTCACAACATCTTAGACTAACATCTATATGAAGCTTTCATATGAAGCTCCTTGTAGAGTCTAGCAAGTCACAGATCCATGGATCAGACCTGAGGAGAGGCACCTGCTGACTCCTGGAGTTGTGGTGGTTGATGAAAGCAAGATTGGCGAGTAAAGCAACAGGCTGCTGGTTTTGGAGGCGGATGAATCCAAAGTAAGGAGTTAAGGCAAGCCACTGTTTCCAAGTCATCTGTGGGAGATGAGTCAGATTTGGGATCTAGATTTAATAAAAGCAAGAAGAAGTTGCCAGAGGTCTATAGATACTCATTTTTGTTGTTATGTGCAATCAAGTCACCTGTGATTCACAGAGATCCTAGGCCACACCTGAATGAGCCTCCCTTTCAATTGAGCAAATCTCATCATGCAGATTATTTCATTGTGAGGTCTTATCAAGGAAATTATTACATCTTAACAGCCAAACCAGAGACCCAGAGGCTTATAGGAAGTCAAGTTGACATCAAGCCTTAGCCATCACACATAGCAGTGGAGGGGGAGTAGACTGCCCTGGGAAGGGGCCTCTGATCTTGGTGAGGGGGCTCTGACCTTGGTGAGAGGACTCTGACGTTGGTGAGAGGGCTCTGATCTTAGCGCAAGGGCTCTCATCTTGGTGGGGGTCTCTCTGCAGCTGAGGCTGTGTTCTCTGCAGCTTAGGCTGGGGCTGAAAGTTAAGGGCCTCTGGACACGCCTCCCAAAGCAGCCAGGAAAGAAGTCCATCATTCCTGACAGCAAAGCACAGAACCCACGCTGTCCCCTTCAGTCTGGAGTGAGAGATATCATTTTTCATCATTTAGGAAAATGACAACCCTAACAGGGCAATGTGCCTGCCCCGTGCGTGTGGGATACCCTTGATCTGCCCACATAACAGAGCACATGTCCTTTATAAGGGGACGTGTGCTTGTCTTGCCCTGGTGGCAATCTGTACATCCTAAGGGCATGAGGTCTTCTTGTCCTGCTTCACACAGCAGCATGTATAATCAACCACCTGGGAAGTGGTTGTGGGGGGACTTTAACTCACCTCCACTCTCCCTTTTTCTATTGATGAAACACAGTCCAAGAGGTCACACAGAGATGGGGAGCTGAGTTGGGAATTTGAGCACAGGCCTTGATTCTTTACTGGCTCTGATCCAATAAAGCCTGATTGCAATAAAGCCTCACCTATAGGTTACAGCTGTGTGTTCCCGACACCCACACAATGAGCAGGGAAGGAAGAGGACAAGTTAGAGAGCAGGACCCCAAAGTACTAAATGTGGCTCGTAGGAAACAGAACACTCGGGCCAAAGAAAGGTCTCGAAGAACAATAATGAGGCATTTATTCGGTTGCATAGTCCTGCTGTTATTTGGTTTTCATCTTGACCATAAACTTGAGAGGTAGGAATTAGTCCTCTATCACAGAGAGGGAGGAAAGAGACCCAGATAGGGTTAGTGGCTTGTTTGGGGTCACATAACGACAGGATGGTGTCACTGGATCCCAGTCTGCACCCACTCCTTGTCTCTTCTCATTGGACATCTTGCCTGAAGGCAAGACAGGCTGCCAATGGTGCTGCCGGGGGGGTTGACTGGAGGTGAGCTCCCTGGCTGAGCAAAGGCCCTCCTATCGACACACCCTCTACATGGGGAGGAAGGCTCCCTGCTGAGTGTTTGCTGGTGGAGATGTGTGTCACCGTGTACGTGCATATATGTGCCCAAGAACCAGATCCATCAGTTCCTCAGCCGGCTTCTTCCCTTCTCTTACCCTCTCCTGGACACAGGAAAGAAGTGCTTACATCATTCGTTGTTTGTTGTTGTGTACCACAAAGTCAGAACTGACCTGTAGCTGACTCTCCAGTGGCTTTTTCTGAGGCAGTTAATTACATGGAAAGAGAATGCCCATCTTTCTCCTAGCTGGTGGATTTGAACTGTGCACCTTTCTATTGGCAGTGTAATTCCTTATCACTAAGCCTACAAAGCTGCCTAAAATCCCTTCTTCTCGCCATACTTCCACAGCGAGGCCCAGGCTCAGAGTCGAGAGGAAAGACAGAGATGCCACCTCTCTCCCAGGTGTTGTCTCCTGTTGCTCAGGCTAGGAGATAGTCCTCCCTGGTGGGAGAAGCCTGTCCATCTTCTCCAGCCTTCACTTCTGGGCATGGGGGCCAGTGGTCTGGGCTCTAGAGGTAGAGTCTGATGTAGGAATTGGTGGAGCAGCAGATTCTTCAGCCAGAGGACCCTAGGCTACAGGTGGCTCGAGGTTCCTTCTCCCAGCCCCCTGCCCTAGGCCAGTCTTCTAGACTGTGGTTAGCCCTCAGTGGATGCTGGTGTGTCATAAGGAGGCCCTGCCTCCTCAGAGGACCGTGAGTCCTTAGAAGGGGACCACTTGGAACCTCTCTCTGTGGCGTGAACCCACTGCAGATTCAGGATCTCAGGTGTCCCTAGATGTGGGCTCTGCTGGGGACCTCAGGCCTTTCAGAAGCTCAAACCTGGATCCCAGGGGTGGAGAGTGAGCCCCAGATTCAACCCCTGCACTCAATCTGAAGAGAGGCTGGCCCTGTACCTGGGGGTGCTATCTCAGAGGAAGTCATGAGGAAGTGGCAGCAGTGGGGAGTGGGGGCTCACAGGAGATGAGGAACAAGCAACCACAGTGTCAAAGCAATGGCCCCACTCTGTGAATCCCCAGCACCAGTGTGTACTCCTCCAGGGCAGGGGCCATGGGACATTGACTGTGTCCAGGGCTCATGAGCCTGACTCTTTCTTCCCCACGCTCACAAGGGTCCCAGGCAGAAAGAGGGGCGCCCTGATAGTCAGGGGTTCTGAGGTAGACAAAGTCCAAGCCCTACCTCTAAAATAGAACTCTGGACTCTTCTGTGTTCAGTTAGGTCTGGGGTCTGCTCCTCTGCATAGGATCCTTTTGGTGGCATTTCCTAGGACTTCCTGCATGGGACCTCCAGCCTGGACCCCTCCCCAGATTCCTAGGAGCCCAGGAAAGTACTCAGGGATCAGGAGAGTTGAGCATAGAGCAGATCTGCTGGTGGCCCGTTTCCGGTAAGGTCTGGTTATGGCGGTGTGCATGTCTTCACATGCCAGCCTCACTCCTGTCCAGGCAGGACCCCATCTTCATTCTTCCTCTGGACTTCTGGGGCCCCTCTGGGAGAAGTGCCCCTTGTCGGCAATTAAGTGGTGTCAGCCCAAGTCAGCTTCCATGGGGGCTCTGGTCTGAGTGTGCCCCTCCAGGGCCTAGCAGGACCATTGTACACACTGTAGCCTACAAGACAGGAAGAGGTAAAGAAAGCGGGCTCCTGGTGCAGGTCAGCTCGCCCGGGTCTAGCTCTGCCTGGTGTCTGAGTGCCATGCCACACCCTCAGGACTATGCCAAGTTGTCCCTGCTTGCTTTCCCTTGCTGGGCACCCTCAGGGTCAGGGTCCTCCTGACTGGACCCAGGGCATGGGATGTGTCAAACACACAGTGCCAGAAGGCGTTGGGAGAAGGGCGTCAAGCCCAACCTCTCTGTGCTCCGGCTAGGAAGGGGGCATACTCACTGCCCACATGTCTCCTCTTCCACAGCCCATAGAAGATGACCATGAGTACGGGCAGGGGGAAGATGGCCACCACGGCTGCCAGCACAGTGGGATCAAAATCCTGGGGCCTGCGGAGACGGGGAGAACAGCAGAGGTGAGCCTCAGTGTCCTCCGGAACCCAGGAGGAAGGCAGGGGAGACTCATGTGCAGATACCCTGGTGGCACCCCATTCTCTCTGGAAAGCCAGGTGTGGAGGAGGGGAGAAAACGAGGTTCTCAGGAGAAGCGCTTAGTCAGATGTGATCCAGGAATAACTTGGAGGCAAAGATCTTGTCCTGACAGTGCCTCACTGTGGAAAGACCCTCTCCACTCACTCCTCCCCTCAGTTACACTCCCAGTTCTGTCCAGTGAGAACCCATATTTCAGACACCCTCATTTGTGGTTGAAGGGATCGAGGCTCTCCTCACAAGGACTGTGGCTGCGTCTTCCCATGTCTGATCTTTGCAGTGAATATAGAAAGTACTGAAAGTACTGCCCCAGTACCTCATTTTCTCATCACTTCAGCACACACCAGTCCCTCCTTTTGTGATTTGCCTGAGGTCTGTTCCTTGACCTTGGAGTTCTCTTTGTCACAGAGCAGGTAGCCCTCCACCAACAGCTTCCAGGGGAGCTGGTGTATCAATATTCCAGTTCCCTCGTCCCTCAGGGGAAACACATCTGAAGGAGTTCCACACTGGGTCCCGCAGTGTCCCCAGTGGGTTTGGGACTGTGATGCAGCCTGACTGAGTAGCCCTTGTTGGCTCTCCCCCTCTGCCCGCCTCACTGCTCCATCTTTTCTCCAGTGTTCCTTCTACCCTATAAGTAACTGGCACTTGGATCCTGGCCTCAAGGTCCGCTTCTTGGAGAATTCACATTAAAGCACCCCCCGTTTTCCACTTAGTGCCCTCGAGTTGTGCAAAGAGTCAACATACTAGACTTGCTAACCCCAAACCTGCAGGTTCAAGCCAACTCAAAGACACCTCGGAAGAAATGCCTGGTAATCCAATTAAAAGAAATAAAAATCACCTGTTGAAAATTCTATGAAGCACAGTTATACCGACACCAGTAAAATCACATGTGTCAGTTAGCTCGGTGGACCTGTTTCACATCCCACTTTATGAGCCTGATCCCAGGCCTCTCTCCTCTCTACTCCACATTTCTCATGCTGGTCCCATCTCTACCCTCAGACACACAGCCATCCTTTATGTCCTACTGTGCATCCCAGTTTCCCATTTCCCACCTCGGGCTTTCCCTCTTAACAGCAGCAGGCTCCAGGTGAGTTCCTGGGACGTGAAAGGCCAAGACTTGCACCTTGAAGTCTGTTCAGGCACCAAGAACACTTATCTGGGAAAACGTCTCCCAGTCCCAGCCTCCCAGGTACCTGATGGGGGGTGATCTGCTGGTGGGGTACATTCCTCTGGTGAAGGAGTTGGTGTTTGGGGGCCCAGCCTTGGTGAGGATGAATGCTGGGCCATCAGAGGAGGGCCGGGCACTGCTGGGAGCTTCAGTAATTAAGTGGGATCCCTCAGTTCTCTTGTGTCCACTGAGAGTCATGGGGGCTCCAGTAAAGCTTTGGTCTGCCATGGAGGTTGGTTCCACAGCTTCTGGGGCAGAGGAGGGCAAGGGTCTGGGCAAAGTGAGGAACCCAGGTGTGAACAGGGTCATGTCCGTGGTGAATGGTTGCTCAAGGTCAGAGATGGGGTCTTGATCCATTGCCAAATTCATTCCACTCTTGAGGCTGTTGGACAGATGCATCTTGGGAGCTGTGGGAACAGAGAGGAAGGAATATTAGACTTGAATGTCTCAGTGCCGGAAGCAGTGGTCTAGATGCCAGAGTGAGAGCCCATCCCCTCTCCCTTCCTTAACTTCATGCCTAGGATGTTACTGTACTGAGTAACCAGGTGTGGGCTGGTCCAGAGAGTAATTCCAGGAAGCATAGACACAGTAAAGAAGGAAGAAACCAAAAGACCAATAGCCATGGAGCTGACACTGAACCAGGGTGACCTTATGTGTGTCAGAGCAGAAATGGGTCCCATAGGGTTTTCAATAGCTGATTTTCAGAAGTAAACCTCCAGGCATTTCTCCTTTTTAAAAAAAAAAAATTGAAAAAAAATTTAGGGGTAATTATGGTGACACTAATACTAAGAATTACTAAGATACTAAGAATGTGGTGACCCAATGGTAAGAAGCTGCACATGATTTGAATCCACCAGTTGTGCCATGGGAGAAGGATGAACAATCTCCTCCTATGTGATTAAATTGCCTCTGAAAACCCACTGGAGGATCACTTATGGGTCGGTTTTAACTTAAAGGCACTCAAAGAATAACAGAAGAACTATTGATGCTATGATTACTAAAGATCCCATGGATTTCCAAAAGAACAGCTATGTCTTAGAGAAGGAACAGCCAGAGGGCTCTTTGGAGGCAAAGATGATGACGCTTTGTCTCATAGACTTTGGGCATGTTGTTCAGAGAGGTTATTCCACAGAGAGGGATATCATGCTTGGGAAGGGGGTGGGGGACAAAAGAGAGGAAGATCCTTGAGCAGATGGGTTGACACAGAGACTGAGGCAATGGGTTTGAGTGTGTCCAGAGATTGTGAGGATGGCACAGGACCAGATAGGGTTCAGATCTGTTGTTCATAGGGTCACTATGAGTCGTACTTGACTCAACAGCACCTAACAACAACAATAACAACATGGCCGTGCTGTTTTCTAAACACCAAATAGAGGAATTATCCAGAAAGACCTAACACTCTCATGACCCTCCTGATGGATTTGAACCTCCAAGCTTTCTGTTAGCCGTCAAGTGTGATAACCATTTGTACCACCCAAGAGTTCCAAAGGAAGACTCAAAATCTCATTAGTCTCTCTTCATTTCCTGTTTTCTTTTGTCTCTTTGGAAATCCTCCTCATTCTTGCTGGTCAAAGAGAGTTCTATAATATCACGAGGAGCAGAGATTTCTCCCGTTGCTCCATAGCTAATGACTAGGTTCCAGAGGTGAAGACAAAGGAAATTTCAACATTTTGAAATGTCTTTGTATTTTGAAAGAAAGCTGCAATCACTTAAAGTCAGATATGGTTTTTGGAGTTTAGCCAGAGACGCCTGAACTAGTCCTGTTATGTTCAGTCAACCCAGCTTTTCACTTATCCTATTCTTTTTTCCCCCCATCCTTTTTTTTTTAATTTTAATGAACACTTACAGAGATTTTGGATTTCCATTCATTCATTGTTGCATTTTTCTCCCTGCCCACCCCTCCTCACCAGTTAACTCCTCTCCTTGAAAAGTAAAAGAAAAATTCCTTCATTGGTATACAATCCCCCCTTACCTCCCCACTATACTCCACTATGCAACCTTCATTCTGCACTCTTGGCATAACCATAACATAGCCAAGGGTGACGGAAGAGGGAGGAAGTAGGTGGTGATGGAAAGTCATCACCTGTAACATGTGGAGTCACCCAGGAATCAGAATTGACATGAGGGCAAAAATATTCTGGAGGCAGATGGGTATTTCCCCTGTTATGGACTTTAGGCATGCTGTTTAACTCTTCTGCCTTGTCTCCTATCACCCTTCCCCACAATTGATATGGACCTTTTCCATCCACACCAGGCTCCTTCACATCACAGGACCTTTGCATCCACAAGCCCTCACTTAGAATAGTCTTGGAAGCACCTAGATTTGGACAAGGCTACAGAAATCTCCTCATTCAAGATCTGCACAATGGCACCTGCCCGGGAAGCTGCTCCTTTGCTCTGGTGCTCCAGTAATTCCCTCCACCACTAGGGTACTCTCCAGCTCATCACACTGAGTTATTTTCTTAAGGACATTTGTTTGTTGCTATTCGGATGGAACTCTTTCTCTAATGATAAGCTGTTGTTGTTATTGTTGTGTGACATCAAGTCAGAACAGACCCATCACTGACCCTCCAATGGGTTTTCAGAGGTAGTAAATCGCACAGTAAAAGATTGCTCATCCTTCTCACACAGAGCAACTGCTGGATTCGAACTGCGTGCCTTTGGGATTGCAGCACAGCTTCTTACCACTACGCCACCAATGACAGGGGTTATCTCGCATGAAGCAAGACTGTTTCTTTTTGCCTGCTGCTATATTCTCAGAACTCTGGTGGTGTAGTCCCTAAGGAATTGCACTGATAACTCAAAGGCAACAAACAACTCGTTGGTGGTTCAAATCCACCAGTGACTCCAAGGAACAAAGATGGGCAATTCCCTATCATGTGATTTGCAATCTTAAAAACCCAATGGAGTGTCAGCTGTGAGTCAGTTCCAACTTGAGGGTAGTGAGCTGAGGGTTTTTTGTGGTCCTCTGATGGCCAAGTGCACAGGGCATTGAATGGGCACTGAGTCTTAGGGAGCTCTGACCGCACTAGTACACATCTAACCTGAAGGCCACATCTCTCTGGCTGTTCAAATCCACCATCAGCTGCAAGGAAGAAAGATAAGCAATCTCCTCTCATGTGATTTACAACCTCAGAAACCCAGTGTAAGGTCAGCTCTGAGTCAAATCTGGCTCCATGGTGATAAGTCGAGTTTTAAGATCTCCCCACAGCCCAGGATAGCTCCTAGCACACAGTAAAGGTTTGATAAATATATCTTGAGCTGATGACAGAATAACATAGCACTCAGAGAGTCCAGAGTTTGAATCCCAGCTCTGACACACGCTAGCTCTGTAACACTGTATGATCTCACTTTCTTCACTTATAAAGTGATGACAATAAAGCTCAAGGAGATAAAATCAGGTGTTGGCTGTAGGAGAATGCTGAGGCCTCTGTGGTGTGACAGGGTTATTATTTGCTGTAATTTTTCTAATTATGTTCGATGTGCACAGAGTGCTTCAAAACGGTGACCATCTAGGGGGCAGAGGGAGGCAGGGCAGGGAGGATACCCCCACCCACTCTAGGCCCACTCACCTTGTGACACTTCCAGCTGAATGCCCAACAAGGGGAAGAGAGTCTGGGAGTCATTCCGCATGCACCAGTATCGGCCAGAGTCCTGGTGCCGGAGAGCCACCATCGTGATAGTGACCACCTTGGCGTAAACATCGTCCTGCAGCAAGTAGTGGGGCTTCTGCACCCAAACCCGGGTGAACTTAGAGTCACATCTGTTCTTCCTGATTTTGCACCAAATCATGTCCTCCATTTGATTTTTGCGGGTTTTGTAGTGGCATTGCACAGACAGCGTCTCTCCCTCCTGGTGCTGCACTCTGGTGTAGACAATGTGGGCTGGGAGACCTGGGGAGACACGCCTTGTTGAGCAAGGTCTGGTGAAAGAGGAGGAAGGAGGCATCTTGAAACCAAAAACATAGAGTGAAAAGGAGGGCACTGATATTGCCCTGCAGTTGAGGAGCTCACTGTTTGAGGGGGAGACACTGCCCTGTCCTCAGAGAGCCCCAGTCTGAGGAGAGACACCGCCCTGCCCTCAGAGAGCCCCAATTTGAAGGGAGACACAGCCCTGTCCTCAGGAAGCCCCAGTCTGAGGGTGGACACTGCCCTGCCTTCAGGGCGTTCTAGTCTGAGGGTGAGACATGGCGGTGCTCTCAGGCAGCCCCAGTCTGAGGAACAACAAAGTGCTTCCCTCTACCATCAGACAGGCGGCTACTTAAGAACAAGCTCTTCTTTCTCCTCACCAGAATTGTTGTCTTCCGCATCTGGCTAGGAGCTCTCAGGAGGCAGGGGCTATGTGTTCTCCAACAGCCTAGGGCTCGGCTGTGTCTCCATGTCTTTAGAATAACTGTCAAATTGAGCATAATATTATCTTCTCCACTGATGGGCTATGAGACTTATGTACCAAGACACTACCTCAAATAGAATAGGTGCTCAACGCATCATTACTTTCCCAAAAATATAAGTCACCCCAGTCTTCTCGGGGTGCCCAGAACTCTGACCATCAAAAGCTGGCCCCCTGCCCCTGGGGTATTTGTCACAATTTTTAACCCAATCTCTTCTACAATAGAGGTTTTGGGTAAGGTAACATCCTCTCTGAGCACCACTTTGCTCCTTGCACACCACATCAAATGACCCAACCCAATTCTTGGCAGATTTCTCAACACAGAGGAGACACCTTTCTTCCCAGGTAGAAAAAGTTCCTGCCCTCAGGGACTCTCTGGGATCCTCTGGGAGAGGCACATGAGGGAATGCGTAAGAAAGGGTCTCCAATATTGTATTCATGTGTGTCTGTACTTCCATCCCCTCTCGTAGAGGGTTGGGAGTGGGTTTTCCCAACTCCCTCCATGCTCAGAGCTGAACAGGAAGGGGCAATTTAGTTGCCATGGCAGCAAGGGTGGCAAGAATTGGTGAGGTCCCTCCAGGAACAGGAGTAATGAGTTGTGGGAGTGGCCTTCAAGGGATTGGCTCCCCTCAGGTCAGGGACAGGATATGGCATCAGCATTCCGAGAAAAACCAGAGTTCAAAGGCTCAAGGATGAGGCAATGAGTGTTGTCAGAACCGAACAGCTTTCCTGACAAAGGCCAAGAGAAGGGGCCTCTTTTGGTGTGAGGAGACTGAAATGTTTCTCATTTGAGGCTCTGAAGAAAAACCTGGCAGATAAAGGGGCCAAGGAAAAGCATTATCTTAGCTCATGAGGCCTGAGTTAGCTTTACCTTGGTCCAGATATTAGGAGGGACCCTTCTTACTAGCCTCCAGGGCACCAACAGTGTCCTCCTTGACCACAAAATATCCAACAGGAAAATAAGGGAAAAGAAAGCAGAGGTGGAAGATACAGGCAGAGGCCCTGGATCTAGCCCATTTAGCAGCCCCTCTGCTCCCCAAGACACCCCACTTGCCCTTTCTCTCACCTGACGTGCCATTGTATAGCCATAGCAGCCACAGCAGCAGCAGAAATGTGGAAGTCATGGCTCCATCTAGTGGGGGACAGTCCCAGGGGTCAGAGCACCCCAGGAATCCAAAGTTAGGGCTCCAGGCTGATGCAGTATGATGCCACCTGGTTCTGGCTGGAGAAGGCCTGGTTCTGAGTGTGAAGTTGCCCATTTACGGAAGTGAGGAAACCGTGGGACCCACCAAGACCAGCAGACCGCAGGGGCCCACAGAGCCTATCACCCAGGGGCTCCGCAGCGGAAACAGCCCAAGAGCCGCCCTCTTCCTCAGAACTTCAGGCAGGTGTGGCTGCTCCACCCAGTTTGGGGGGCCCCCTGTTAGGAGAGGGTTCACTGGGTTAGACCCTCCCTGCCTCTGGTTCCAGTAGGACCCTTTCCTGGTCTGAGGGGATCCATCTAGAAGACTAATGGAGGTTTCAGAACTTCAGGTTTGGAATTCTCTGGAATTTTGTGGGCTCAGAGACCAAGGAAACAGGCTCTGGGGCTGGAGAAGGGTTTCTTGCAAACATACATTTATGATGAAGTTCTTGTAAACTTGTTTTCATCCACTCACTCATGAGCCCACTTTGACACCCTGCCTCTCCCTGTCTGTCTCTTTCCCAGACTCCCGGCCAGTCACAGCAATCACTCATTCTCACTCTTCCAAATACCTCTTACCTTTGAAAATGCAGCATTATTTTTGTCATAGTAGACTTATAAGAAAAATATGCAAATTGTAAGGTTCAAGGCATAAAGTTTGGGTTTAGAGAGGGACACCTGTGGTCTCTCTCTCTCACACACACATACACACACATACAAACCCCCCCCCACACAAAAAACCCAAACAAACCAAAACACACACACACACACATACACTCTGTAGCTATTCCTTATCAGCTTATTTCCATCTCTTCAACCCTTTTTAAATTTTTTGGTCTCTTGTCTCTCCTAATGTTGCCTCTACTCACCTACCAGCTCTCTCTAGTCCTACTCCCTCTCGCAGGCTTCCTAAAAGCCACAAAACAGCTTCCTCTCACCCCCTCTTCTCAAGTAACCACACCTCCGGAGCCCCTTCCTCCCTTGCTCTGGCCTCTGCCAGAATACGGGCATGCCCACTCCGCTTCCTCCTGCTTAGCCCTATCTCGCCTCTACAGCCACTCAGTTCCAGTTGAAATGACCCAGCATTTGGTCCAGGACCCCACCCACTCAGTGCCTGGGGCTATTGAACAGAAGAATGAATTTCTGACATCCAGTAACTATGTCCTCTTCTCCCCTAGGGAGAGCTATGCAGATGGACCCCAAGATTATTCTCCCCTATTCTCCTGAGCCTCCCTCCTTTTCCTTATATAAGACTTGAGTGATATATAAATCCTTACTCATGTATGGTCACCACCCGTACATTCATTTCCCCTCAGTTTCAGCACTGAGCTTGAAACCTCAGATCCTAAACCAAAGAGATTTTAGCTTTGTTAACCTCAAACTCTTATAGTTTTAACTCATTCATTTGTTCAGAATGTCTATCTGTGCTTTACTGACTATACAAAGGTGTTTGACTGTGTGGATCATGACAAGTTGTGGATGACATTGAGAACGGGAATCCCAGAGCACTTAATTGTGCTCACAAGAAACCTATATCTGGATCAGGAGGCTGTTTTGTGCAAACGGAGCAGGGGAGTACTGCATGGCTTGAAACTGGAAAGGGAGTGTGTAAGGGTTGTATTCCCTTTCAATACCTGTTCAATCTATATGCTGAGCAAATTATCCAAGAAGCTGAACTCTGAAGAGGAGTGTGGCATCAGGATTGGAGGGAGACTCATCAATAACCTGTGTTATGCAGATGACACTTTACTTGCTGAAAGTGAGGAGTACTTGAAACACTTGTTACAGAAGATCAAGAAATGCAGCCTTGGGTATGGATTGCATTTCAATGTCAAGAAAACAAAGATTCTTCCCACTGGACCAATATGCAATATCATGATGGATAGAGAGGAGATTGAAACTGTCAACAATTTCATCTTGCTTGGATCCATAATTAACACCTTTGGTATGAGCAGTCAGGAAATGAGATGTATTGCATTGGGAAAATATGCAGTTAGGGCCCTTTCCAAATTATTGAGGAGCAGTGATGTCAGTTTGAAGACTAAGGTGCATCTTATTTAGGCAATAGTCTCCCCAATTACTAGCTATGCAACCGAGATCTGGACGGTGAATAAGGAAGATAGAAAAAGAATTGATGCCTTTGAGGTATGGTGTTGGAGAAGAGCACTGAATATCCCAAGGACAACCAAGAAAACAAATAGATAAGTCTTGGAGATGGTGCAGCCAGAGTGCTTTTCGGAGGTAAGAATGATAAGGCTTCACCTCACATACTTTGGACATGTGACATGATGTTGGGGAGGGTGGAGGATAAGCGAGGGAGACAAAGACCCGCAACCAGGTAGATTGATACGGTGACTGCTGCAAGGGGCTGTTGTGTGTCAGGAAGTGTGAGGTTGGTGCAGGGTAGAACAGGGTTTAGATCTTTTGTTCATAGGGCTGCTATGAGTCCTGCTCTACTCAGCAGCACCTTTGAGCTGTGGTGCTGGAGAAGAGCACTGAATGTACCATGGACTGCTAAGAAAACAAACAGGTTCATCTTGGAGAGGGTTAAACTAGGTTGCTCCTTCAAGTCAAGTATTCTGCGGCTTCATCTGACATACTTTGGACATGTTGCAAGGAGGGACCGATCCTTGAAGAGGGACATCATGCTTGGGAGGGTGGAGGGACAGCACAGGAGGAGAAGACCCTCTATTAGGTGGATTGAGTTAGTGACTGGGGTAATCAGGGCGAGGATGTTGGAGACAGTGCGATTGGCACAGGACAGAGCAGGGTTTAGGGCTGTTGTATAGAGGGTTGCTATGAGTCGCAAGCGACTCGACGGCACATAACAACAACAACAACGACGACAAAATTTTGTTATTGTTGAGTCATCTCCAATTCATGGTGCCCCCAAGTGCCAGCTGATCAATAGGATTTTCAAGGCTGTATGATCTTTTTGAAATAGATCACCAAACTTGGCTTCTAACATGCCACTGGGTGAGTTTGAACTCCCAACCTTTGTTAAATGCTTGAAGTCAAGTTCCAGCAAGTGATTCTGGACAAAACTAAAGAAATAGTGAAAAGATCAATGGATGTTAATGGTTGGAGGTGAGGATGGGAGATAAAGGGAAGGAAGGAAAGATGACAAGGCGGAGTACAGGGCATTTTAGAGTAGGGAAGCTATTCTGAGTGATGCCATAAAGATGGATATATCATGTTGTGCATTTATTGAGACCCATAGAACCGTACAACACAAATGATGAATGCTAACATACCAATAATTGGTTCATCAATTGTAACAAATCTATTACATCTCAGGAAGATGTTAATAATAGGCAACTATAGGCAGCCGTCAACTCTGGTGGCCTAAGGGCCAGAAGCTGTGCTGCAATCCTTGAAGACACACAGTTCGAGGCCACCAGCTGCTCCACAGGAGAAGGATGGGCAATATCTTCCAGTGCGATCAACTGCCTCTGAAAACCTGCTGGAGGGTCCCACTAGGAGGGTCATCAATGGGTCAGTTCCTGCTCAACTCTATGGTACACAGCAACAACGTTGGTGGTAGGCCTTTGGGAACTCTCTAATTTCTAATTTTTCTGTAAATTTAAAACTTTTCTGAAGTTAAAGTCTATTTTTTTGTTTTGGGGTTTTTGTTGTTGTTTCCTGTATACTTTAAAATATTTTTATTTTATATTGGTTTGCTTTTGAAGTTCATATACACTGTGTTTCATACTATCCTTCATTTACATTGTGTTTCGTACAATCATTTCCACTGATTATGTTTTATAAGATGAATCACCATTGAACTATGCCCATCATTACTCTGTCTTTCCAGATCCCAGATGGATCTTTGCATTTCCTTTACCCCTCCTTACTCTACCCACCAGTTTGTGCAAGCCTGTGATTTCGCCCCTGCCCATCCTCACCGTTCTCCTCCTTCCTCCGCCACCTTGGATACTCTCACACATTTTACTAGTTATCTATTTCTACAACAATGGTCTTACTCCATATTTATCCTTATGAGGTAAGGTCGTTCACACAGCATAATGCTTTTCAGTCTCTCTCACATTAGGTAGTAAATTTTTAAATTATTGCTCCTGCATGCTGCATAGTATTCTGTCATGTGAATTTACCACAATTCCTTAATCAGTTCAATTGTGGTTGCACATGTGGGCTGCTTCCATGTTCTTGTGGTAAATAATGCTGCTGTGAACACTGGTGTACAAATCTCTGTTTGTGTCTCAGTTTTAATTTTCTCGGAGTATATTCCTAGCAGTAAAATAGCTGGGTCATGTGGAATTTCCATGTGCAGCTTTTTGAGAAAACAACAAACTGCCTTCCATAGGAGTTGTGCCATTTTATAATCCCACAGTGTATGAGAATTACCACCTCTCCATGTCTTCTCCAACATTAATTGTTTGCTGTCCTGTTAAAATTTGTTATTGCTACTGGGATGATATCTCATTGTGGTTTTGGTTTGCATCTCTTTTATTGTCAGTGGTTTGGGGCATTTCTTCATGTGCCTCTAGGCCATTTAATATCTTATTCTGTGAAGTCTTTCCATGTTTTTTACCCATTTTGTAATTGAGTTATCAGTCTTTTTCTTGTGGAGGCCCTGTAGTATTCTGAAAATTTTTGTTATGAGACCCTTATCTGAAATTATATTGACAAATGCTTTTTTTCTCATTTGGTAAATTTTCTCTTCACCCTGTTGGATAAAGTTTTTTATACACACAGAGATTTAATATTTAGAAGGTCCCATTTCATCAATTTTATCTTCTCCTGGTTTATGTCAATAAATTTGGTGTTTGTTAAAAGCTTAAAGGAGCTAATTAGCATTAACAATTAGCTTATGTTAGATGGATCTTGGCTGAAAGCAGGGAGTACCAGAGGGATGTCTATCTGTGTTTCATTGATTATGCAGAGGCATTTGACTGTGTGGATCACAACAAACTGTGACTGACTCTGAGAAGAATGGGAATCCCAGAACACTTAATCGTGCTAATGCAAAACCTATACTTGGACCAGGAGGCAGTCGTCAGAACAGAGCAGGGCAACACTGCATGGTTCAAAATTGGGAAGTGTGTACACTACGGATGTGTTCTATCTCCATACCTTTTCAACATATATGCAGAACAGATTATCCAGGAGGCTGGGCTCTATGAGGAGAAGTGTGGCATCAGGATTGGTAGAAGATTCATAAAAAATCTGCTTTATGCAGATGACACAACCCTGCTTGCTGAAACTGAGGAGGACCT